TACTCCCCCTGATTTAGGAGCTTATTAATAAGACACATACATCTAGGGTTTTCACTAAGTTAGACATTTAATAAGGGTATAATAATATTTGGATTCAAGACAGAGATTAGTAGAAGGCTGTGTTCTGAACCAATTATAGATTGTACAAACTAACTATAATGTTCTTCAGACTAACTAACTTGCTTACAACATTCTAGTCATTTATAAATTATATTCTCACAGATCTGATTGACTCAGAGTATGTTAGTGTGTATCTGGACAACATTCTAATCTTTACCTAAACAGTTAAGTACTATTACTGACTGATCCAAGCAGTTCTACAATGGCTCTAAGATAATAAACTGTTTCTCTAAGAAGTAAAGTACTCTTTTGTGTAGGAGTCAGTAGATTATCTAGGCTTTGTAATTGGTGGAGGAGAGGTCTGTATAGATCTGACAAAGGTAACTACAGTTTGGAACTGGCTACAACCTCAGAACCTGAAACAGGTCCAAGCATTCCTTAGGTTTGTAAACTACTACTAACACTTTATTTAAGACTTTAGTACTATTACCTGACCCCTTTATGATCTTACTAGTAAAGATGTTCCTTAGTAATAGGATGATTAGTAGCAGTCTGTGTTTGAGTCCCTCAAGTAGGCTATTACTAGCAAGCTTGTATTAGTAGTTCTGACAGTTGTAGACAAGTTCTAAGTTGAAGCCAACTCTTCTAACTTTACAAATAGAGTAGTACTGTCCTAGTTCATTAACAGAAAGTAGTGTTTAATAGTGTTCTAATTAGAATCCCTCTCTACAACAGAACAGAACTACTCTATCTATAACAAGGAACTCCTTACAATTGTCTGTTCCCTAAAGGAGTAGTGTTAATATCTCCTTAGTACTGTACAGAAGTTTAAGATTTAGAGTGATCACCTTAATCTCTAGTACTTCCAGGTGCCTTAGAAGCTCAACTACTGTCAAGCTTACTAAATGTTAGAACTGTAAGACTATGACTTTGTACTAACCTACAAACCTAGAACACAAATGATGAAAGCTGATTTACTCTCAAGACAAGTAGGTTATGAAAGGGGGGAGAATGATAACAAAAATCTTGTTCTCCTAAACAATTCCTGTTTTCCATCTAAGACAATCTGAGAGATCTGACTCAAATCTAAGAATGTTGACTTTGTCACCTACATACAGTAAGCTCTAAAACATATGTAGGAGCAGGTTGTAGTAAAGTAGCTAGAGAAGCAGGCTAGGGATTAGGAGGAGGATAAGGATAGATAGGTTTACTAGGAAGGCTGACTATATGTTTCAAAGGATTGGAAGCTGTAAGAGGACATTGTCTAAGCTTATTATAATAATCTAACTGTAGAACATCTAGGCTGACACAAAACACAGGAACTCATTACTCAGAACTACTAGTGGCTAGAAATACAGAGGGAAATCCTAAAGTATGTAACTAGTTATAATACATACTAACAGACTAAGGCCTACTAGACAAGGGTTTAGGCTCCCCTACATTTGTATCAGATCCCAGATCACTCTTAGGAAGAAGTCTTAGTAGACCTGATTAGTGAGCTACCTGAGTCTTAGGGTTACAATACTATCTGTATAATTGTTAACTAATTCTCTAAGCAAGTCTACACAGTTCTAACTCAAACAGAACTCACTTCTGAAGGTATAACATACATTTATCAGGATCATGTCTTCTGGTTATACAGACTCCCTTAGAAGCTCATTCATGATTACAGACTGTAATTTGAGTCAAAATTCATGTAGGACTTGTATGTACTTCTCAGAATTCAAGGGAACCCTTCTACTACTTATTACTTACAGACTGACAGTCAAACTGAGTGAGTCAATTAGGAGATTGAACTCTACCTCTGAATGTTTATCAATCATTAGTAATCAGATTAGTCTAAATGGTTAGCTCTGACAGAATTTGTACACAATAACTAGTAACACTCTACAACAGGACAGTCCCTGTTCTTCCTTAATCATAGAAGACATTCATACTAGGGGACAGTTCCAAACTGGAACAGTAGTTCTGAATCTACAACAGACTTTGTAGAACAGATACATAGGACTAGAGAGGACACACAAGCTCTTTTAGAAAAGGTAGTATAGGTTATAAAGTAGAACTATGATTGGAAGAGGTCTACAGCCAAGGATTACCAGCCTAGTAACAAGGTTATGCTAGAAGCTACTAATCTAACCTTAGATTACTTAATGAAGAAGTTGGACAACAAGCACTTTGAACCCTTTGTTATTAAAAAGAAGGTTAGTACCTTTACTTACAAACTCTAACTTCTAGCAACATAGAAGTACATACACTCAGTGTTTAACAAGGTTCTATTGTCTTAGTACTATGATCCTAGTTTTCCTTTGTAACAAAGACCCTTACTACCTCTACTAGAACTTATTGGTTCTAAACCAGAATACAAAGTAGAGTATGTAACAGATACTAAGCTAGTACATAGAAAGCTCAAGTTCCTTATCCACTAGAAGGGATACTCAGTTGAGGAACATACTTGGGAACCTGCTGAGAACCTTGCCTATACTCCTAAGACAATCTAAGATTTCTATCAGCTTCATCCTAGTACTCTGTACAAACTCAGCCTTATGGATTTCCAAGCCCTACTATTCTGACCTATGTCTGAGCTACTAACTAAGCCCTATGTTCACCAATTAGGACAATTGGTTTTAGAGGGGGGGTGATGTTACAGTTCTCTACTCTCTTACCTTCAGTTCTAAGGGTTCTACACTCTTCTGTACTAGAACTCAGGACTTTTGTCCCTTAGGAGTACTGTCTATAGACTATATGTATACTAACTCTTACTACTACCCTTCCTTACTTTATCATTCTATTCCTTTGACCA